AAAAGACATAGCCACCCAGAGCACGTGGACGAGGCAGAATGCCTACAGGGTGCAAGGCAAGCCCCGGAGTCTCATTTGCCATTTGCGTGCATCATAGATCAACCCTTACATTTACAAAATACATGACACATATACAAATATTCTCTCAAATTTTATCAATCTCCACTCTAATGCGTAACTGGTTTAAAATTTTAAATTAAAAATTTTATATTTAAATATTGAGTTATGTGAGAGATTTAAAATAAAAAAATAACTATCCATTTTATATAATTTATTATTATATATATATATAAATTCTTCACCGCTCGGAAGTGTTTGAAATACTAATATCCAAGAATTTTTGTAACTTTTAAATGATTCATTTAACTCTTTGAAGGATGTATATGTCACAAGATAAAATATAAAGGTCAAAATTATATTGATATGAGGAGTGTAGGGATTAAATTTGTAAGAAACTTTTAATTTTTCCTAATAAAATTAACGTGATGGTTTTTCATTCTTCGGAATCGCCTCCTGCTTCTAATTCTGTTTCGTCTGCGAAGGACGTTTCGTTCTGAATACTTCTACGGTTCTACCCATAATACGTAGAGTCGACCCAAATTAAGACAAAGGATACACAGGTTGGAGGAGTGGTTTGTATATCAAGTTGTTCAATATACCTTGTTGTTAAGGTGAAAATGTCATGTGGCATGTGAGAAAGAGGAAGACAGGTTCACGTGCTTAACGTGTTTAATTTGAAATGGAACTTGGATTCTTTTTTCTTTTTTTTTCTAGGCAATGTCGTGGAACTTTGATTTGAAGCATTATGTAATTTTCTTTTAACAATTATTATAAGACCAGATTGAATCATTATTTTAAAAAAAATTAAACTTTTATAAAAGTGACGGATACTACCCTACTTTATGAGGTCGGTTTTGAAGCATCATGTAATTGAATGGCTTATGATTTGGCCAAGTGACAGTAAGGTGTCTGCATTGATTAGTTGGAATCTTCATTAACTTTGGTAGTAATTAGTCAATATATACTGGCCTTTTTGTCAGGCTCTGGATAACTCCTGGCAATGCATTTCTAGTGTCTTCAAAATACAATTGCTTTTATTAAATAAGTTTTGAGAAATTTTATTTTAATTTTTTAATAAAATTTTATTAGATTATTTTTATCATGAAATGAGATTAATCATAAGTCAAACATGTTAGTTTTATTTAATGTTTTGAGATTAGATTGTGATTATATGTAAAGTGACTATTTTTTATTATTTATTATTATAATTTATGAAATGGTTTATAGGATTTGGAATGGTTTATGTCAGGGACTGATTATATGGTTAATCTAAAGTTAAGTTGTTAGTATTGTGGTAAATTCAAATTTTATAAGTTATGTATTGTAAATTATGGATTATGAATTGTAAATTGAGTATATTGTGAGTTGGGTACCGTGAATTGTGGATTGTGAATTATTTTACAACCATAAAAAATGAAAATTGAGTAATTCGACTTTGAGAAATAAAATGTGATTTTATGAGTTATTTTAAAAGATTTCAAGTTTAAAGAATTACATGTTCAGTTGTGTTAGATGATTATATTACTTGTTGAGTTATTTAACTCTCATTTTTTAAATTTTATCTCATTTTAAGTGATAAAGAGGAAGTATTGGAATTTGCATGGAGATTAAAAGAATATTAGAATATCTTATAGGAATTTAATTTATTTCTTAATTTAAAGATTATTTAATTTTATAAAAAATTATTTTCACTCACTTTATATTATTGGTTATTTGAGTTGTTCAAAAGATTATTAAGATTATTAAGATTATATAATTTAAATTGACTTATAGGGGTACAATTTAGCTTAGATATTCTGTAAAAAAAATTATAATGATTTATAAATTTATTAATTCTTACACATTTATAAAATTATTCCTATAAATATGTGACATTAGCCATACCCTTAACCTACCCGTTGGGGCATGACAACCTTAAAAGTAACTTCCCTGGGTTTTTTTTTGGTTTAACGTCCGGTATCTGGGGCTTCGCCCCGATTAATCCAGACCCGACTTGCGTCGCGCACTTGAAAATGGTGGGTGAGTCTCCCAACGAGGGTTGCTGCATACACAAAGATAACTTCCCTGGGTTGCTTGTCAATATTTTATACTTTTATTGTGAAATAAAATAGTATATTAAAAGACAAAGAAATTTCTAGCCACTGTACAGTGTTTTATTGTGAATGACGTATGGATTTCTAAAGTGGAAATGAAAAGTAGTACCCATCTCTCTTGTGAATCCGGAATAGAACGTCATTCGTTCACCCATAATTTCAGCCCATAATTTCAGCCGTAACGATTAAGTCAGTCCCTCTGACGGTTCGGCCTGACTAGTCTGAAAATAATTATAAACACCAGAAATAAATTGTTCGTTTTTCATCCAAAAAAGGCAAAATGATGACAAAAACAACAGCAATTTGTTGCTGATTCCTCGCGTTCGTTTTCGAGATATTTACAAAGTTGACATGGCTCACGAGTTACATGCAGTTTGTATTTTACTCGGCACGTAAAGTGACCCCTAAGAATTAAAAGAAATCTGTGGGCCCTTTCACATCTTATACCGTGAATAGAGGGGAGATGAGAATTTATTATTTTATTCTCCTATTTCCCTTTTGCTAGCTGCGTTTGTCCAAAATGAAAAGGTTAAACTCTCATTTTGGTCTCTGAACTATTATAATATAGACTCTCGATTTGGTCCCTAAACTAAAGAAATCTTTAATTTAGTCCTTGAATTATTGTACGGACCCCTTAGTTGGTCCCTAAACTATTATACAGACTCCCAAGTTAGTCCCTAAACTACTATGCGGATGCCCAATTTGATCCTACTGTTTACCAATTTAACCCAAACTTGATCTTTCTGTTAAATAATAGCTCAGGGACCAAATTGGGATGAAATTGTAAACAGTAAAGACTAAATTGGAGGTCCGTACAATAGTTCAAGGACCAAATTAGGCCAAATTATAAACAGTGGGGACTAAATCGGGGTCTGTACAATAATTTAAAGACCAAATCAGGGATTTCTTTAGTTTAGAGACCAAATCGGAGGTCCGTACAATAGTTTAGGGACCAAAATGGGGATTTAACCAAATGAAAAAGGATAATAGAAGGGCTGTGTTAGAAATATCATTTTGTGTGATTGCGATATTTTTATTGTACAATCTTAATAATTAAGATATGAGGCTATGTTTAATATTTTTGTATAAGTTTTTTATCTTATGTTTTTAATGTTTAGATTAAAAGTATTTTTTTATTATAAATATATATATAAAAATATAAAAATTAATAGTAATTTGTTTTATTAAATTTTTGTTTTTAAGGATTAGACTTAAATTTAACAACTATAGTTAAATTTTATTAAATTATTATTCTTAAAATAAAAAAATTAACAATAATTATTAAATTTAAATTAATTTTTAAAAAATAAAAATTTTAAATAATATATTATGCCAACATTTTTTTAAATGACAATTGACAATTTTAAAAGAGGCTGCAGCTTCTGCCATAAGTAAATTAGGTGGTTGTTATACTCCATTTATTATTTCCAGTTGGCATAATTAAGGTTGTGCTTCCATTTCATTTTCCCACTTTCTATTATAACTTCACCCACCCACTTTTTCTCTCACACTTTCATTGCTCCTTGCGGCTTTCCTGTCCCCCACAAAGAATGGCAACCAGCAAAGCCGTCACCATTGTCCTTATCGCCGCCATGTTCACCTTAGCTTGGGGGCGGACACCGGCCCCTGAACCGGCTCCTGAACCGGCTCCATCTGTTTTTGGACCGTCTCCTGCTGCGGCACCGGGTTCGGACTGCACCACTAGCTTGCTGAACACGTCGGACTGCTTGTCGTACGTGACAAATGGAAGCAAGGCTACGAAGCCGGACAAGGCTTGCTGCCCGGAGCTAGCGGGGCTGTTGGAAAGCTCCCCTATTTGTTTGTGTTATTTATTTGATAAGAACAAAACGGCGAGCTTCGGGATCAGTATTGATACGAGTAGAGCTCTCAAGCTTCCTTCTGTTTGCGGCCTTACTACCCCTCCCGTTAGTTTGTGCTCCGGTAATAATTTCTTCTCTTTGATTTTTCATATTGTCTAAACCCAGGCATGATCCGTTGAAAATTAAGGGTTTACAGCACCATATTTAAATATGTTGATGTGGGATTAGAAAAAACAATACTGTTCCGGTGATAATTTCTCCGGAGTAAGG